TTAATTCTACAAGCCTTCTGTGTTCATTGCCCGAGATAATCGCACTACCCTTCAACCCAAAATGCTTTCTATAGATCCCATATTATGTAATATATGATTGGTGCAGTACCCATGCTGTTAGTCTTAATTGCGAAGACATTTAAACAAAAGGATTTAATCAGGGTAGGTTGTCTGCGATATCACCTCGGTGGAAGCGGACGTAAAATACAACTAACTCATCATCATCATCAGGGTATGGAGTCGACGTGTACACACGTAAATCAGATGCGTGACATTTATCATTCGTGGATGTGTTCTCAGTGTGGGAAATACTGTTTTAAATGGATATATAAATACACGTTTTATGATTGTGGACGAAACGGTATGTGCATCTCAAGAAAGCTTTGCTTCGGAACCGTCCCGTCGCCATTAAAAATCCAACATCTGTTTCACCGTAGTGATCTTGAAAAATAATCCCCGGATAATGACAGGCATTACAGGTACCTGCCGTCTATGAATCCTGAAAAATAATATTTCACCGTATCGCAACAGATCAGTACAAAACTAACACTTATTATAGTATTTCAACATTGTGCTGCAAAACTGAACGATGACCAACAACTAAACACATCGTAATATCTGAACATCGCACGTGAAATTAGATTTTTGACAACAAAATTTAACACCTTGCGTATATAATTGGACACCTTGACTGATTTTAATCACGGCTTGGGAAATTGAACGGTCCAACAAATTATTGAACAGTCGTGCTAATTAGACGGGACGCTTATAATTCGGTTACATCTCACTGTGCCCACTTTTGATTAATCCAATTAAGGTCTAATTAGGATTAGTGTATTAAGCGGATTAGGATTAGGTGTTATAGGTAATTAGATGGAAAAAAACAAATATTGAAAGTGACTAAATATTCAGTCTTATAATTGGTGAGATGAACTCACTGTAATCGTTAAAGTGATGAATTTTATTCAAAAAATGACACTTGAATATAATATGAATTATGTTCAGTAAGCCTACACATTACACGGTCTTTATAAGGACACACAGAAGTCAGTCTGTCATATTTCATCATGGCAAACGTTCAAGTAAACATCCAGTACATCCCCAATGCTCAAGGTGGAGAAAACTTAGTCCATGAAGAATACAAATTCCATAAAATATTTGGGTTTTTTTCCCCATCTAATTACCTATAACACCTAATCCTAATCCGCTTAATCCACTAATCCTAATTAGACCTTAATTGGATTAATCAAAAGTGGGCACAGTGAGGACACACCTATAATTCAACACGTGTCGAGAAACTAAACACTAGTTAATTAGACGCTTGGTTATCAAAATTAAACAGTGAGATTGAAATTCGATAGAAGTACGAATTGAGCACTATTCGTCGAAATTCAACAATATTTATGAATAATTGGACACAGAGTAGAAATTAACGCTATTTACGCTAGATTAAACGGTACCAATGTTACAGTGTACGGTGCTGTGATAAACGATTACGCAGAGACGTATATTATATTTTGCCGACTTGAACCCTTCTTTCCTCTGCTGGTACACTACTCCCAGGACTACCAAAGATATAACAATATTTCTTTTGTGTTTGATACGTGTATCACCACCTCCGTTAAAGGACGAAAGATTCGTCTGCTTTGGCGCCATTATGCAAAGATCATGGCAACTAAGGATGTAACGGTTCAAAAATTCTTGAACCGGTTAACTGGTTGTTAAAACCCCAACCGTAACCGGTTAACCCATATTTGTTGCACCAAAATAAGACTTGATAATATATTCTTAAATTATTAGTATTACAGCTTTTAAGTTAACATTTGCAGTCAGTACAAATTCCATTCATTCATTCTTGATGTTTCATTTGTCCATCTTGCTCGCTGACAGGTCACGTAGGCCCTATAGATAGACCAGTTGAATCATTGAATTGAAATCATGTTGATTTTTTTTTTTTTTAAAAAAGATTCACTAATACTTATTAAGATTAGTTATGAAATCAGTATTTGAAATCATACCTTTGGATTTTTAAATACAAAATAAGTTTGATTATTCAACGTCTGCTAATTCCAAATAATTTACTACACGTGTTTCTATCACAAGCCATGCTGTATGGTATGGTACCAGTGACCCGTATGTCAACTTTGACCCCATCGGCACAGCATCGCGTACTCGAGTGATAATTTAAACAATTTTACTATTATATCCTCTCTATTTTAATCTTATTTCATCACATCAAAACTTGTTTCATTTCGAGACTTTGTTTATGGAGTGATGACGTTAATACTGTAAAACAATTAATTTGTCAATCAATTGGGATTTAATGCTTGACAGCGAGTGCTAATAAGGTATACATTACAAATGTCAAAACCTGAGCGGGAATTTACAGTCGTTAACTTCCTGAGACTTTTTGTCCCCCGCCTTACGAAGAAAGCAGGGGACTATTAAAATGGGTTCGTCCGTCTGTCTGTCTGTCTGTCTGTCCGTCTGTCCGTCACACTTTTTGGGACACAATAACTCTCTTCCTAATTGAGCTAGAATGTTCAAACTTGGTGTATGTGTTTATTAGGTCAATGCCTTGATGGAGTTCGAAGATGAGCATTTTCCGCTTAGGGTAAGCAGAGATAAGCAATTTGATTGGTTGATGCTTTGGGACACGATAACTTTAGTTCTAATTAAGTGAGATTGATGAAACTTGGTGTATAGTTTCATTACAGTAATACCTTGACTAAGTTTGATAATGAGCATTTTCTGCTCAGGGTAAGCAGAGCGATACGCAATTTGATTGGTCGAGACTTTGGAAAACAATAACTCTCCTACTTTGATTGTCCCCCGCCTTTCGAAGAAAGCAGGGAACTATTAAAATGGGTTCGTCCGTCTGTCTGTTTGTCTGTCTGTCCGTTCCGCTTATGGTAAGCAGAGATAAACAATTTGATTGGTTGATCTTCGAATTGAGTAAATGTTCATGCTTATTGTCCCCCGCCTTTCGAAGAAAGCAGGGAACTATTAAAATGGGTTCGTCCGTCTGTCTGTTTGTCTGTCCGTTCCGCTTAGGGTAAGCAGAGATAAACAATTTGATTGGTTGATGCTTTGGGACACTATAACTTTAGTTCTAATTAAGTAGATAAACAATTTGATTGGTTGATGCTTTGGGACACTATAACTTTAGTTCTAATTAAGTGAGAGTGATGAAACTTGGTGTATAGTTTCATTACAGTAATACCTTGACTAAGATCGATAATGAGCATTTTCTGCTCAGATTAAGCAGAGCGATAAGCAATTTGATTTGCTGAGACTTTGGAACACAATAACTCTCCTTCGAATTGAGTTAAAATGTTCAAAATTGGTGTGTATGCTTATTGTCCCCCGCCTTTCGAAGAAAGCAGGGGACTATTAAAATGGGTTCGTCCGTCGTCTGTTTGTCTGTCTGTCCGTCACACTCCTTCGAATTGAGTTAAAATGTTCAAAATTATTATAACCAGGTATTGATAAAAGCATCAATTGAGCAATTCCAATACAATCCAATACAATGAATATAGGCAAGGTAAATAAACAAATAAATGGAAAAAACAAATTGAAAAAGAAACTATTATAAATTAATTAAATATGTAGTATGCAATAATGAATTGACATTTAATGACAGAAAGAAAACAGTGAACTTTGCACAACTTGCAGCAAGATGGAAAATAGACCCGTTGATACAACCAAACTCTAGATCTGTAGGCATAGAGCATGTTTTCCCCTTAATATGCTATAATTATTCCATCAAAAACATTGTATGCTTAGACTATAAGTAAAGATATACTGTTTGATTGTTCAATACTTTGTAAAAGATAATTTGTGATAAATTTATATGTGTCCTCTAATTATTTTCCTATTTCGGCGGGGGACATCAGCCTCACTGTTGGCTTGTTACAAATGACAAGTGCTATTTAAAATATTTATGTGGTCTTAGTGAAAGAAAACAATGTTGTGGCTATCATTCCTGGGTTTGAAGGTCAGGTATCATATAAAAACGAATACCGATTAGTAATTTTTTGAACCGGTTCAACAGTGCAACCGAACCGTGACCGGTTAACCGAGTGACCGTTTACTTCCTTAATGGCAACATTAAGCAGCAATCTTCAAGACAGAAGAAACCGTCATACCCAAATGAACTATAAACATACTTATGGAAAACAGCTACTGATTTATTTAGGCGACGTTTCAAAGAGTATTCTCTCAATGTCTTCAATATAACAAAATTTGAAGCAACATATAGACAAAATTACAATAACAAGGTTGAATCCATACATGGCAACAACAAGATCAAAGGCCTATGACACAATGGGGTTATACCCAAGTTACTATAAATAGCGCACTTTTTGACAGCCATGGTCAGCACGGGACTTTTGACATGAGTTATGAATGGAAAGATAAAGTAGCAGTTAATTTTGTTGACGTTCATGATTTTCCGTTATCATTGTTTACCGGTCCATTTTAAAATTTACCGTTATAAAACCGGAAAATGCCGGTTATCGGAAACTCTAAGACCTAGCTCATTCTTGTCAAGTGTTTTTTATTTGCAAATCTTATATAAATTGTGGGGTGGTCTAGTGGTCTAATGAGTGCGAGTGAAATCATAAGGTCTGTCAATGAGTCAAGTGGCGTGGTTTCGATTCCCCCTTGTATTTGACAAGAAGTAGGGTCACCTGTCCAACCTCATGGGTTTTCTCTAGGTCCTCCAGTTTCCTCCTACTGCTAAAGACCCCTACGCGCAAGCGAATTATTGAAATATAATTGGACCATATGAAAGTCCCAAAATGACCTAGTTTGTGCAGAGTGGACTTAAACCCTCCCTCCCTCTCTCTGTATCTGTCTCTGTCTCTCTTGAAAAGAAAACAAACTACAAATTATAAGCTAGCGCTTTAAGATCCATTGGAACCTCTTCAGGCTTTAATATAGTAACGTAACTATATTGCCAAAAATAAATATATATAAATTGTCTTTTTGGGTTGTAGCATCTAGAAATATTAATGACTGGTGGTTATCCTACTGGGTTTCTCATACACATACATACAGTAATAATACCAATAATACTACTTACAGGTAATGTATATCTCAATCAAAATTTAAGGAAATAGGTCTCAACTTTCATTTTGTAGATCAAATTAAAGGATTGAATTACCTAATAATAAGGTTAAATCTTCACATCAGCATAGGAGGAAATCAGTGGGTTTACTACAGTAATTTGGCTTTGCAATATCATTCTGATGTATAAGAAATTTTGAAGGCAATGATTTATGTAATGTAAATTTTGCAAGAAAATGTTTTTCATGGCATCCTTCATAGGATTCATTAAATGTTTGAAATCATTGAGGAAAATTCATTTAGAATAAAACTTAATTTGTTCTCATTTATTTTTTAGCTACAGCAACCTCGAAGTTTATGAATCATATATGCTATTAGAGAAGATTGATAGTATTATGAGAAATATAAGTGAATCAAAAGACAATATCAATTTCTATTTGATGATCTATGGATGTTTAGCTGGTGCTAACTCTATGTTCACTCTAGCTAGAGCTTTCTTGTTTGCTTTTGGTGGAATACAAGCAGCACAGGTTTTACACAAGAAACTTTTAGCATCTATATTAAACGTATGTATTGAACTGATGTTTCTATTATATTTTTTTAAGCCCTCATTAAATGTTGACAGATATTTTTGTCACCTGTGTCGAAATTTGCTTCGAATAAAATTGTTTGCCCATTTATGAAATCTTATGAACATGGTGGTATAGAACAAAGTTCGGTGTATAATTTTAAAAAACTTAGTGGCGTTGTTCATAAAGGTATAAATTTTGGGATCGTAGATTTCGAACAAGTTTTCCGGTCACATTTTACTTTTAAAGCTTTTGTGAATGCACTACAGGACAAAGTTATAGTTGAAAAGTGGTATTGTTCATTTGAAATACTGTGAATTATTCAGCAATGTTTTGACTAGGAATCTATAAGGCTTGATATAGACGAGAGTCAAGGTTGAAACATAAACATTTTGACATAAACTGGAAAATATTACAAATTTAGTCAATATGTTGCTTGGATAGACCTTTTTATACGCGAACATTTTCATATGGACGTATATTGTCGTCGCCCCTACAGGGCACAATTCTTATCCGATTTTGACGAAATTTGAAATATAGGTTGATCTCCAAAAGATTTCGGTTCCTTTCGATATTGGCATCTATCGGATTGAAACTTCATGGATTATGGCCCCTGATTAAGGTTGCAATGATACAGAAAAAAATATCACGATATCTCACAATAATGGTAAATGAATTATCGCAATATCATAGATTATCGTCGGGAGTAAATTATCGTGCTTCAAAAATTCAGGATCATGATAATTACTGATATGAAATTGATATAATTTGAGGTGTATAAATGGATTATGTATTAGCAATGTTTGTGAGATGCACTAATGAAGTGAGACGTATATACATGTATATATGCTGGGGTAAGATTATTCCTGTAGGTGTCGTCACCTCAGATCATTCTATTCTATTCAGCTAGAATGCCCTGAATACCGAATTGATATTCAATAACTCGATATCAGGTTACCAGACTTGTCGGATGTTCTTTTCATAAGGCCACATTGAAATGTGAACGTATATTGCCGTCGCCCCTGTCCGTCCGTCCGTCCATCGTCCACAATTTCTTGTTATCATCCAATTTTTTTAAAATTGATATATGTTGTTTACATTAGTTTGATGAAGAAGCTTATTTAATTTCAATAATTTCCGTTTATTACGTCTAGAGTTATGGCCTTGTGAATGCTATAATGCCAAAAGTTAAAATACGATGCAATATTTAAGTTATGGAAACAAAGAAGCCTATTGAATTTCAGCAATTTCCGTTTATTATGTCTAGAGTTATGACCCTTTTTCACTTTATTGAACCTTGTGATGCTCCAACGCCAAAAGTTATCACCCAATCTTTGTGGAATTTATATGCATGATTTAAATTAGTGAAATGAATAAGCCTATTGAATTTCAGCAATTTCCGTTTATTATGTCTAGAGTTATGGCCCTTGTTTCACTTTATTGAACTTTGTGAACGCTCTAAGGCCAAAGGTTATCACCCAATCTTTGTGAAATGTATATGCATGATTTAAATTAGTGAAACGAAGAAACCTATTGAATTTAAGCAATTTCCGTTAATTACGTCTAGAGTTATGGCCCTTGTTTCACTTTATTGAACCTTGTGAATTCTCTAACGCCAAAAATTATCACCCGATCTTTGTGAAATTTATATGCATGATTTAAATTAGTGAAACAAAGAAGTCTATTGAATTTCAGCAATTTCCGTCTATTACTTCTAGAGTTATGGCCCTTGTTTCACTTTGTTGCACCATTGGAACGCTCTAACGCTCTGCCGATTTGTATGACATTTACATGTGTCATTTAAATTAGTCAAGAGAAGAATCTTATTGAATTTCAGCAATTTACGTTTATTACTTCTGGAGTTATGGCCCTTGTTTCACTTTGTTGCACCATGGGAACGCTCTAACTTCTTAAAGACAACGTAAGATCAAAAATCTAAATTGCATGTATGTATAGCCCATGGTTACTATATCAACTTTACGGCAAGTTCACAGCAATCTGATTAAAATTAAGTCCGCTTTTAACGTTTAAGTATCCGGCACGCCAAAACGCTTTTCGATTTTTCAATTACGACCTTAATCCGGTTGATTGGCTGGTGACGTCACAGGCACTACACATAGGATATACATTATCTATACAATATCTCACTGTATGTACAATATAGCACTATCAATACACACGGCAACTGGACAAGCGTCTATTGACGGTCCAATTACCACGTGACTGGCCTAATCATAATCACCGAATTATCGTCTTTCATTGGTATAGATTAGACATTTGTGATTGGAATATTTTAGAATAAATTTAAAATGCCGTATCATGCCGTAGATCAATTTAAGCTGCCTTTGTTTAAATAGGCCACGTGTCAAATGAAGATGACTCAAGAAATTAGCGCATTTACCGGTAATTTGGATAACCCCGTAATACTTGATATCCCAAACTTAAGTACAGAAATACAAATGGTGGCAGTCATTTGTTGATATATTCATTATTAGCTATATATAATAATAATAACCATTTCTATACACAAAGAACAACTACAGTGAATATGGAATTTTCCGATGACTATGCATAACATGTACAATAGATCGCACTCATTTCTCTGCCAATCAACGCTTGGTATCTTATTATCATGTACCGTTCCATGTATTACGGGTGTAGTAAATGAGGTTAAACTTTGCCACGAAAATTGCACGGGATCATTCGTGGACTTCCTGGTGCCGTTTGGTGAGTGATTAAACTGTCAATGCTGTTGTAGTTGTTGTTGTTTATTACAAATTTAACGTCCAATACATAATGCATGATATTATGGACAGGTTGATTTAATTAAGTTATTTACTTAAATAAAAAATAGAAGTTAGGTAAAAACACTAAATAATAAAAAGTTCTTGTATATCTAAACGTTACTTTAAAACAGATTTAAAATAATTAAAAAGTCTTGTATATCTAAAAATCTCTTTAAAACACGGTTTTAAAAATGGTTTTAAAATCGTTGTCGTGGGAAGAGAGGGTGGGTCATCTTCTCACTTTGTCATAATGAAAGTTAAAATAGGAGATGCAATTGTAAAATACTTTTATTATAAAGGAGATAACCGATGTTAGACATTATAACCTAATCGTATCAAAAACGTTAATCATCCATCAATTAAATGTTGTTTAAACGCCAAACAACAAATAATACGAGGCTACTTGATTACAAAAACACCGGTGAGCAATAATTATTGGGTATATAGTAATTTTAAAAAAACTTATTAGTAAAACTTAATTATTTTATACAATTAATGTGTGTGTGTATGATTCTACCATTAGTTCATACGGGTGTAGTAAATGAGGTTAAACTTCGCCGCGGAAATTGCACGGGATCATTCGTGGAGTTCCTGGTGCCGTTTGGTGAGTGATTAAACTGTCAATGCAATTGTAAAATATATACTTTTATTATAAAGAAGATAACCGATGTTAGACATTATAACCTAATCGTATCAAAAACGTTAATCCATCCATCAATTAAATGTTGTTTAAACGCCAATCAACAAATAATACGAGGCTATTTGATAGTAATTTTAAACAACTTATTAGTAAAACTTCATTATTTTATACAATTAATGTGTGTGTGTATGATTCTACCATTAGTTCGTTCGTGAGGTATTACGCACACGTTCCACTTAGAGTGATGTCTTTGATCTGGCCGGTGTAAAAAAAGATAATTACCTAATCAACATTCTTAATCCCACTAACACTCACTGCTAACACCAACTTGAAATTAATTTATGACCCATGCCTGTATAACTTTTATAGTCAGATTGATTAATTAATGACAGATATTAACAACACTACACTTTATGTGGAAAAGCAAAGTGCTCGCAGTAAAAACCACATAGCTGGACCCGTATATTATTTACATATTAAAAGTGTTCGTCCAATAAGTTCCATATTGTAAAAAATTAATTAAGAGTTCAGGACTTCAAAGTTTAAAAGTTGAAGGCACTCTAAATTGGATCTTAAATTAAAATGAATTATAAAACAAATTATTCCGTAGTCAATTGTTTTATTTAATTAGGGGGATTAAGGAATCCTTCAGGCGTTAAAGAATACACACGCCGGCTGTATATAGGTAATTAAGGAATAAACATTCCGAATATGCATTCGGTCACTGTGACGTCACTGGCGCCTGAGGGGATTAAGAGTGTTTTCGATAATTGGAAAAGCCGTTTTTACGAAAGGTCTATTTTTATGACTTTGAGTGAAGATAACTGAATTAATTTCAACTAGATTGGCATGAACTTGCCGTAAAGTTTATATAATAACCATTGGCTACACGTATCTCAAAGTTTCCGGGACCATCTTATGGGCACTTTAAGTTAACTGCCGATCTGTATGAAATTTATATGTGCCATTTAGATTAGTCAAGAGAAGAATCCTATTGAATTTCAGCAATTTCTGTCAATTATTTCTACAGTTATGACCCTTCTTTCACTTTGTTGCACCATGGGAACGCTCTAATGCTCTGCCGATCTGTATGAAATTTACATGTGTCATTAAAATTAGTCAAGAGAAGAATCCTATTGAATTTCAGCAATTTCCGTTTATTACTTCTAGAGTTATCATCCGATATGTATGAAATTTATATGCATCATTTAAATTTGTGAAACAGAGGTCTATTGAATTTCAGCAATTTCAGCCAATACTTTCTAGAGTTATGACGATTGTGAACCTTGTGAACGTTTGAATGACAAAAGTGATCATGTGATCTGCATGAAATTTATATGCATTATTTCTGTAGATTACTTCCAGAGTTGAGACCCTTGTTTCAGTTTGTAGAAACTTGTGAACCCTCAAACTGATCTGTATGGAACTGTTTTGTAAAGGCCCCCAATTACCTTCAAAGGAATAAATATGCGACAACCCTTGTCGACCGCCCGGACAATTTAGCTGCTGTGGGCGTATGTTTCGTTGCCTGGCAACCTATCTTTAAAATATCCCCATATGAGTGACAGAAGAAATGCTGTTGCATGTAGCATTTGCATGTATCATTCCGAGTAGGGGTATCCTTACCGTTATAATATCAATCATAATTATAAATATTGTGGATGCTTTTTTCGTAGGGGTATGGGACCAGACTATATCAAAGCGTAGTGAAATATACTTGATACATGATACTAATGTCGGTCAGTTGGTTCTTTGCATTAAAAACGGCTGTCTCAAAGTGGAATTTGGAAAATGGAATAAATCTAGTATCGGCACTTGTTACAATTTGATTTCTTCTTCATTTTTGGAGTATTTTGAACGGATTTAATGTGAATTGTGATCAAAAATATAAATTCGCGATATATCGTGTTAAAGCAATATTTGAGATTTCAGACGATAATTTTATCGCCATCCCCGGGGTATCACGGTAACCTTACCCCTGATTGTACGAAAAATCATGTTTTTAGCTTGTGGACACTCTAGAGGTCACAATTTTTATTCGGTTTAGAATTAGATGAAACTTGAAATGTATGTTTATAACCCAAAGATCTTGGTTCCTTTCGATATTCGCGCATATCCGACTGCAACTTCCTGTATTATGGCACATGATTGTACAAAAAACGTTTTTAGCTTGTGGTCCCTTCTAGAGGTCACAATTTTTATCCGATTTAAAAAAACGTTCAAATATATCACCGTTACACCATAATGATGATTGCACACAGGCCCGGCGGCCAATAATTTGGCCGCAAGTACTCTTTTCTCCAGGACCTAGGATTGAAGCCCTCCCAATCAAGAATTGCTTCCGCCGGCCCTGGCACACAAATAGTGATAAAGTATGTAATATCAAGGTTGTAGACCCTCTAGAGGTCATAATTTTGAACCGAATTTGATGAAACTTAAAATATATGTTTATATCCCACAGATCTTGGTTCCTTCTGATATTCACGCATATCGGACTGTAACTTTCTGGATTATGGCCCCCAATTGTATGAAAAATCACGTTTTAGCTTGTGAACCCTCTAGAGGTCACAATTTTTATCTCATTTAAAAATATGTTCAAATATATCACTGATTTTGATGAAACTTAAAATATATGTTTTATATCCCGAGGATCTCGGTTCCTGTAGATATTCATGCATATCGGACTGTAACTTACTGGATTATGGCCCCTGATTGTACGAAAAATCGCTTCTTTTCTTTGGTGCTTTTTCTCTGTCCATCTCTTGCAAAATGTTGGCGTATCTTGCATGGCAACCCCTTGTCCTCATTGATTTGGGGCACTTTTATGGTGAAAATTTAGAAATGTTCTTAATAGTATGTTGTAGAAGTGTCGGGTTTAGGTTCCCAAAGTAATTGTGTGTAAAATAAAGCTGCTTGACACTAAGAATAGTTAAATGTAGATGTTGATGTTGGCAGAGCCCAACCAACCCATTTACAGGCAATTAAGCCCAACTCACAATTTAAATTTATCTTGCAAAAGATATATGTCCATCTTGAAGAACTAATGATTAGATTGATAAGTATCGTTATGGTTGAGTATATTCTGTAGAATTAAGGTGACATGAGACAGTAGAGCTAAACTTTATGAATACATTAAAGTAAGGTTATATAAATATTTTCTGTTTCAGGCACCAGTGTCATTTTTTGATATTTTCTGTTTCAGGCACCAGTGTCATTTTTTGATACAACTCCACTTGGCAGAATTGTCAACCGCTTTTCATCTGATGTAAATTCTATAGATGATTCCCTACCATTTATACTGAATATATTTTTAGCACAAGGTTTTGGTATATTTGGAACTATCATAATAACATGTTATGGTTTACCCTGGTTTGCCTTATTATTAATACCACTAGGTCTACTATATTATAAAATACAAGTAAGTTGTTATTAGAACCAATAGGTCTACTGTATTGTGAAATACAATATAAGTTGTTAGCCCCTCTAATCTTTATTATAATGGAAATTGACTCAACTAAGTTTGTAAATTTTTGTTGTCATGGATCTCTGACAAATCAAACTGTAAAAGAAGAATTAATTTTTATACGCCCACATTTTCATGTGGACGTATATTGTCGTCGCCCCTGTCCATCTGTCCGTCCACAATTTGTTTGTGGACACTCTACAGGTCACAATTTTCATACGACCACATTTCAATGTAGTCGTCGCCACCATTCGTCCGTCCGTCGGTCAAGCGTTCACAATTGCTTGTGGACACTCTAGAGGCTAAAGTTAATATCCGATTGACACAGTGTTTAAGGTCATGAGACGAAGAAGCCTATTGATTTTCAGCGATTTCCGATAATTTCTGCCAGAGTTATGGCCCTTGATCACTTTGAAAAATCTTGTAGACGCTCTAGAGGTCAAAGTTAATATCCGATTGACTTTAAATTTATACACAGTGTTTAAGGTCATGAGATGAAGAATCCTATTAATATAATATAATAATAATAATAATATGTACATTTATATAGCGCTAGTACTCCATGCACAGAGGAATGCTCACAGCGCATACAGTTAATTAATTTGATTAATCATGATAATATTTCTGAAAAAGATGGGTTTTAAGTCTTGATTTAAAACAAGAGAGAGTTGGAGATGATTTAATGATTTCTGGTAGATTGTTCCACTCTTTAGGTGCATTAACTGCGAACGATCTGTATCCTAATGATTTTAGCTTCCACCTTGGGCAACACAACTGATGAAGTCTGTTTGATCGGAGGTTACGTGAGGGAACATGTATTTGCATAAGGTTGGATAAGTATTTTGGAGCTAAGCCATTTACACACTGATAAGTCAAGGGCAGGATTTTGAAGATGATTCTTTCATTTATTGGCAGCCAATGGAGCGATTTCAGAACAGGAGTTATATGAGAGTATTTTGATGATCTGGTAACAATTCGAGCTGCGGTATTTTGTACAAGTTGAAGTTTTTTAATATTGCCACTAGATGTTTCTGCTAACAAGTTGTAACAGTAGTCAATCCTTGAGAATACCAGAGAACACATAAGTGTGGCAGCTGCTTCCTGGCTAATAAAGTGTCTTATATGGCCAATGTTTCTGAGCTGAAAATAGCTTTTTCTACAAATTTCGTGAATGTGACTGTCCATGCTTAGATTAGGCTCTAAGAGGACACCTAAGTTCTTCACAGTGTCTGATGGTACAATTATTGCATTTCCTACAACCACACCATTTGAACCTGGATTTTTCAGACAAGTATTTGGACCAAAGAAGATACATTCTGTTTTACTGTCATTCAATTTCAATATGTTTCTTGTCATCCATTCTTTAATGTCACATGTACACAATTTGATGTCAGAAAAATTTTGGGATGGAACAGTTTTTGAAATAGAGTAATTTGCAGTCAGCTGTGTATCATCTGCATAAGAATGTTGTCCTTGACCATGTTTATCGATTAGTTGTCCTAAATTCTTAGTATATATCACAAAAAGGACAGGTCCTAGGAATGATCCTTGTGGAACTCCACAGTTAAACGGAATTTTGTCTGATTTCACTTTATCTACTAGAACAGATTGGAGTAAGGTATGAATCAAACCAATTTAATATAACACCATCTAGACCACAGTCATGTTTAAGACACCCAAGCAGCCTGTCATAATTGATCGTGTCGAAAGCTGCGGATAAGTCCAAGAGGACCAATAGGTAGATACTTCCAGCATCCACAGACATTCGAATATCATTTGTCACTCTTAACAGTCCAGTTTCAGTGCTGTGTCCAACACGATATGCGGATTGGAATTCATCCATAAGATCATGATGAATCAGATGGTCCATAAGTTGAGATTTGACAGCCTTCTCTAGTATCTTAGAAAGAAAAGATAAATTGGAGACCGGGCGGTAGTTTGATAGGGAGGAAACTTCAAGATGAGGTTTCTTTAACAGGGGCTTAACCACTGCTTCTTTCAGACTTTGGGGAACAACGCCACATTCCAAGCTTTTATTAATGATACACGTAACGACTGGGAGAAGCACACTCACATAATCCAAGAGGAATTTAGTTGGAACAGGGTCTAACTCACAACTTAGAATCTTTTATTATTTTCAATACTTGATCTTCCGTATAAGGTTTGAAGAAACAAAGAGACGGTGGAGACGCCTGGATGTGTGTTGTGATGTATATGTAGTGTCATTCCTTACTGATTTAGTCAAGTTATCTCAGATTTTATCAATCTTCCCTTTGAAAAAACTTGCAAAGTCATTTGCCAGGGTGGTATAATCCTGTGCTGCTGGAAGTGGGGACGATATTCTTTGTCCTAATAAATCAAACAGATGAGTGAATAAAGCCTTAGAATTTCTGGAATTGGTTAAGATTTGGTTATTGTAATAATGAGTTTTCACATGTCGGAGTTTATTGTTCACATCTGATCTGGCTTGACAGAAAATTTGTCTGTGTACTTCAAGTCTTGTCTTCCACCATCTTCGCTCAGCTACCCGTCGCTTACCTTTCAATACAGCAATTACATCAGTGTACCACAGGGCACGGGATTTGACATGAACAACTTTGGATTTACATGGAGCGTGTTTGTCCAAAAGGGAGGTAAGGGTTGAATTGTACATGTCAATGAGTTCGTCAACCTTCTCAGGTGTATTTTTAAAGAGGCTTGAATCTAACAAATCCTTTTCAAAATCTGTCTTTGAGATACACTTAATGTTTCTATCACCTGCTTTGGGTTTGGTGGTTTAGAACAGTTCATAGATATTTTGATCATAAAATGATCAGACATTTGATGATCTTTAACAGAGACTGACTGAACTACTGAATCAGATTGTTGAGAAACAACCCAGTCAATGATGTGTCTATTTTTATGAGTGGCTGTGTTTACGTGCTGGATAAGCTTATGAGTATTTAAAAGACTAAGAATCTTTTTGACATATGGTTGATGCTATGTTCATCATAGTGGGTATTCAAATCACCCAGAAGGAGCAGTTTCCCCTTTTTGACACTTAAGGAACCTAGAAATGTAGATAAATCGTCATGGAATTGACCACATGTCAGTTTGTTTGTTCTTGATGGAGGGGGCCTATGGATACAAACACGAGTGGATGTTTTGCAATGCTTGATTTTAGCCTCATCGCCGTTTGACCTTAGCAAAGTCTCTGTTAGATACAGAATATCAATTTGATTTTCAATGATAAAGTCGAAAATTTCAAGTTTCTTGTTACGGCAGGAACGTGAGTTCCAGAGAAATAGATTCAGTTGAGATGACTTGTGCTGCGGATAGACTTCTACAAGGTTTCTTATATTGGTGCCTGTGGAAGGGTGTTGACAGTTTTTGTTTTCAGAATTTAATGTTGCATGTACCTTAATAGGAAAGATACCCTGATCATAGTTCACCTTACGCTTTCCTCCCCGACTTCTTCGACCACTGCGAAATATTCCAAGATGTTTCAGAAAGTTAACCTCTAAATTTTCACAAATTTTTTGACCAAAGTTTTTAATTGAGAAAAGTTTTTCCCTTGAATAAGTGTACATCACTGTGTCTAGATGAGTAGAAACCGGGTTTAACAAACTGTTGAATAGAGAAAGTTAAATGAGACAGCTCACAAACACTAAACTAGTCAACAACATTTCAGTTTTTCGCTGAGTAATTGTACCTCACATTGTTTAGATGATTAGAGTTTGAGTCTTACTTACAGATAAATGATGACAGTTCACTAAAAACAGCTCACAATCACCAAACTAGATACACAACATTTCAATTTAAATCCATTGTTTAAACAAACTTGTAAATAACTTTTAAAATCCAAAAATTCACAAAGAATTTTTTTGCACAAAGTAATCCTGATGATAACAGAAAATGACAGAACAACTTTGAAAGTTGTACACAATGAAATAACTCCAAAAACTTAGAACAAACACAGAGCTAAATTTACAGTGGCTGCCTGTTAGGCGCATAACATATTACTGCCAGAGTTATGGCCCTTGATCACTTTGAAAAATCTTGTGGATGCTTTAGAGGCTAAAGTTAATATCTGATTGACTTTAAATTTATACACAGTGTTTAAGGTCATGAGACGAAGAAGTCTATTCATTTTCAGCGATTTTCGATAATTACTTCCAGAGTTATGACCCTTGATCACTTCAAAAATTCTTGTGGACGCTCTAGAGGAAATGAAATGAAAAGGGGTTTAAGGTCATGAGACGAAGAAGCCTATTGATTTTCAGCGATTTCTGATAATTACTGCCAGAGTTATGGCCCTTGATCACTTTGAAAAATCTTGTGGACGCTCTAGAGGCTAAAGTTAATATCTGATTGACTTTCAGGCCACGAAATTTCAAATTTTGGCTTAACCAGAAAAATGATTGCGGATTTATGCTTTGTGTAACCATTTTCTTTGGTTACGCCAGATGACCATTGTGTAACCAATTGGTTACATAAAATGGTTGTGCTGTTTTCATGTTTTATCCAGATTTAAATGGTGCTATTATTCATTTCCACTTGCAGTGAATGTATTTTTTAAAAAAATAACTTGACTAATTTATATTCTTTTATATTTAATATTATATTTTGAGGTTAAGTGTTTATGACTTTAATCCCACGGTGTCCCCATTTAAACAATAAAACTCTAGAAAAAAAAGTTCCACTTCACTAAATCCCTACATTTTAATAATGAGAGGAATCGGTTCTAAAAATTACTAATGGATTTTCGTTCTTTTATCATATCTGACCTTCAAAAACCAGGAATGGTAGCTACCACATTGTTTTCGGTCACTGAAGACTACATACGTACTTCATATTACACTTGTCCTTTGCAATCATTCATCCAAGCACGCAGATAGCCTCACTCATAGGTAGCAACTGATTGACAAACAGTATTTATTATAAACCTTGGTAGTATACACAAAGTCTTGAAAGGA